GAGAGAGGGAGAAGCAGGCTTCCCGCCGAGCAGGGAGCCCGATATGGGACTCGATCCCAGGACCCTGAGATCACGACCTGAGCCGAAGGCAGACGCTTAACGACTGAGCCACCCAGGCGCCCCCAGGGTTTCTCAATCCTGACACTTTGGGCAGAATAGTTCTCGGTCGTGGGAAGTTGTCCTGTGCATCACAGAAAGTTTAAAGGCATCCCCGGACTCGACCCGCTGGATGCCAGTGGCACCCCCCGCAGTTGTGGAAACCAACGTGGTTCTAGAATATCACCAAATGTCCCTGGGGGGGGCGTGGTGATTCTGCTCCTGGGGAGAACTACTGATTTAGACCATTGAAGTGCCGGGCTAACTGAGCTCGCCAGGTGGTAGGAGCACAGTGGGGGACGGGGCAGACAGGATCCCTGCTCCTCAGGGAGCTGCAGGCCCGCCAGACAGATAGGCAGGGACGAGCAGACAAATGCATACAACAGTGACCAAGTGTGGCAAGTGCCATGAAGGAAACGAAGTCAGGGCTGCTGCACAAGTGACAGGGCGGCGGCGGCAGGGGCTGTGTTAGCTGGGACTGTCAGGGAAGGCCTCCCGGAGGCGGTGACATTTGGGCAGGGTGAGGAGCCAGGCCTGTGAAGGCAGGGGAGGAAAGTTGTAGTGGAGGGAATCGGCCAGTGCAAAAGGCCTGAGACAGGAGGGTGCCAGGCGTGAGCGACTGCTGTGTCATGCATAAGGAGAGGGGGGTGTCCAAGGATGACTCTCTGCTAAGTGGGGAGCCCTGGGAGGCAGGAGGGGGTGCTATAAGGCCCAAAGAGGTCCAATCACCAAGGAGGTTTTGCTCACTTCTGTCCCACAGTGCTGGCGCTAAAGAAGGTAGCTGGTACTTTCTGGGGGTAGGCAAGTGTCGGAGCCCACTGGGCTTGCTGGAGCAGGGAGGGGGTTGGGCCAGTTGGTCAAGGGGCCAGGACCCAGCTGGGGACTGTTCTGCCGCCACCACCCTGATGAGTCTTCTTAGCCCAGAGATCCGTGCTCTGGGCGGAGCTGTGAGTGTACCCCAGGGAGGGCCTGGGCTGGGCTGGGCTGGGCTGGGCTGGACTCTGGGGCTGGACTAGCATGGAGACGTGGGCGCCCCGCTGGACCTGCCTGGGGCCTGACGTCCTTGCCTTCTCCCCAGCGCTGGCAAGACCTCAATGTGATCAGCAGCCTGCTCAAGTCCTTCTTCCGAAAGCTGCCTGAGCCTCTTTTCACCGATGGTGAGTAGCAGGTGGCAGTGGGAATGGGAGGAGGAGGGACGCCTGTGTATGCTGCACTCCGATCGTTTTTTAAATTGGGTTTCTTGGCTTTACTCTTTGGGGTTTTGTTTTAAGGCAAGAGAAACACGTGCTTGTCACATAGTATAGATACAAGTAAAGAAAGCGCAGAGGTCCCTGTCCCCAGAGTTTATCCTAGCACTTTCTGAGCACTGGCTATGTGCCAGGCACTGCTCCCTCCAACAACCCCACGAGGTCCTATGTCTCCACTGTACAGGCGAGGAAACGAAGATGAAGTGATTTGCCCAAGGTCACCCAGGTTGCAAGTGTCGGAGACAGCCTTCGGCCCTGGCAACTGGCTCCAGAGCCCAGCTAATCACACCCCTATGGATGGGTATTTAGGCTGTTTTCGATTTTTGCTCTTACAAAAAATGGTTGCAACGACTTTCCCTAATGTGTTCCTGCATGCCTGGATCAGTGTCCTCGAGGTAGATTCCTAGACGTAGCATTTCTAGGTCAAAGTCCTGGTCGCCATTTTTGGAAGCTAATGTCAAGTTGCCCTCTGAGAAGAAGGCCCTACTTCACACTCTTGCCAACAGCCTAGGAGGGAATTTGCTTCCGCGCACCCCCATCAACCCTGGATGTCATCAATACTTCACATTTTTGTTAATTGGAAGAGAAATGTCATCTCATTACTGTTTCCATTTTTGTTTCTTTCGTTACTAGGGAAATTCACTATCTTTTCATTAATTTATTGGCCTTTTCTGTTTCCTCTCATTTCCTGTTCGACTGTGTGCCCATTTTCCTATTGGGTTGTCTTTTTTGGTATTGATTTGTAGGACACAAGCTCTTGTATAGTATAGGTATTAACCCTTTGTTAGTTTTGGCAGTAGTTTGTTCCTGCTCTGCCATTTGCCTATGAACTTTGCATGGTAAGGAACTGGAAACAATTATTTTAAGTGTAGTCAAAGCTGTTGGTCTTCAATGGATTCTGCATCTCACATTGAGGAAGGCCTCATGATTGTGAAGATATTTTCTTGTTTTTCCCAATATTTTAATGACTTTTACTTTTGGCTCTGTAATGCAATTAAATTTGTTTGCATATTATGTGAGCTGGAAATGGATTTTTGTTCCTCCAACAAGATAGCTAGTTGTCCCAGGGACATTTATTGACACCTGCATTCTTCCCCGCTGATTTCAAATACTGCTTTTGTCACATAGTAAACATCCATGTGGCCTCTTCCCCTCCTTTCTGTGTCCTCATCCTTGGTTAGCTCTCCCCGTGAGTCCCACACCACTGTGGTGGGCTATGGTTTTAGTCCATTTCTGTATCTGACAAGGCACATCCTCCCTCGTCATTCTTCCTGTACAAAATATCCTCAGCTATCCATATGCATTTATTCATCAGATGAATTTTAGAATAAACTTACCATGTTCCATTTTTTTAAAGTTCCCCTTGGGCTTCTTCTGAAGGGAGTTGGGGGCATCTTGACCCAGGTGGGGTGGGCATCTGGAGGCTGAAAGGCCCCTCCCTCTTTCTAGGTAACCTTCTCTTCTGACCTTGTGATGTTCTTGTCCCAGATGCTGGGGCAAGAACCCCTCTTCCAGTATCAACATGCAGCTCAGGTCTTATTTCTTCCCAAACAAACACACCTGGGCTACCCCAAGTCAGGTGCACACCTGAGTGTCGCTGTAGTGGATTTGATCATGTGGACACAAGGCCACAGATCTCCCCCCCACCCCCCCCGAACTGGAACAGCCTGGGCCTCCTCAGCTTGGAAGCAGCCCACCCCGAGAGTGGGAAAAGGGACTGCCTCCCGCCTCTCTAAAGAGTCTTCACTGTGTTCTAGACAAATACAACGACTTCATTGAGGCCAATCGCATCGAAGACTCAAGGGAGCGGATGAAGACGCTCCGGAAGCTGGTAAGGAGACAGAGACACCCTTAGGCAGAAGGCAGACGAGGCTGGGAGAGCACCACTGCCCTGGGAGGCCTGGAGTCCAATGCCACCAATTCCTTCTGTGACCTTGAAGAGGCCCTTCTCCTCTCTGGGCCTCAGTTTCTCCATCTATCCAACAGGGCTGGTTAGAGGGTGGACTTCCAGACCCCCGAGATATGGCAATGGGAACCCCTGTGGGGCGTGGTGGGAAGGTGGGGCAGCCATCACAGCCCCATGCCCCTTCTCACTGCTACCCAGATCCGGGATCTCCCAGGACACTACTATGAAACGCTCAAATTCCTCGTGGGCCATCTGAAGACCATTGCTGACCACTCGGAGAAAAACAAGGTGGGGGGATGCTGGCGTGGAGTGTGGGGGAAGGAAGCATATAGGGTCCTTTCAGCATACTCTAAGCTCCTCCAGGTCAGATAATCCCAAGGCCCTCTAGGCACACCTTCCTCAGAGGTCATTCTGTCCCCACCCCACCCCTCTGTGCTTCTCCCCTGGAGAGCCATCTCCTGAGTTTCTGAGGGCCTCCCAGAGGATGGAAATCTATCCTTGGATCTAGCTCGAATCCCTTGCATTGCATTTTTCTTTTCTTTTCTTTTTTAAGATTTTATTTATTTATTTGACAGAGAGAGAGAGATAGTGAGAACAGGAACACAAGCAGGGGGAGAGGGAGAGGGAGAAGCAGACTCCGTACTGAGCAGGGAGCCCGATGTGGGGCTCGATCCCAGGACCCCAGGATCATGACCTGAGCCGAAGGCAGATGCTTAATGACTGAGCCACCCAGGCACCCACATCTTTCTTTTCTTTTTAAAACGATTTTCAGTAATCTCTACACTCAACATGGGGCTCGAGCTCACAACCCCAAGATCAAGAGTCACATACTCTACAGACTGAGCCAGCCAGGTGCCCCGCATTGCATTTTTCTAATCAAGCCTCTATATCTTCTGATTCTGCAGCAGGGAAAATGAATGGAGCTATAGGAATTCTCCCAGTTTTAAAATACCCTTAGAACCTCCAGCAGGTCCCTATTCTGGGATCTCTCACTGTTAGCACAGTATGGGTGAGCAGGTTGGGCACTGCCCTAGGCTGCCAGGCTTGGGGATGAGGAAGGCTGAAATCTGGCCTGTGCTGTACTTACCAGGCATCTCCAGGCCCAGCAAGGAGGTGTCCATCCCATAAGCCAGGGACAGCTCGGGATGTGGTTGGGCCTCGGGCCTGAGGGGCCACAGTGAGGGAGGCCTGGGGGACTGGAGGTCAGAGCTCAGGGGGTGTGAACGCTGACCTGCTCTCCTCCCTGGCCCAGATGGAGCCCAGGAACCTGGCCCTGGTCTTCGGGCCGACGCTGGTGAGGACGTCTGAGGACAACATGGCGGACATGGTGACCCACATGCCGGACCGCTATAAGATCGTGGAGACGCTGATCCAGCACGTAAGCAGCCATGCTGGGCTGTGGCCATGTGCCCCTGGGCATCTCGCTCCTGCGCGCCTGGGTGGATGTGCTCAGGGAAGGAGGAGGCAGCTTAAGCAAATGTTCCTGGGATGGTGAATGCCCTTCAGAAGCGATGGGCTGCATTTCCTTACCAAACAGGAATGGATCCTAGAATCCCTGTCTTTCTAGACTGTTTCGTCCCCAGCGGGAGAATCAGGAAGCCCTTGAGCTTCCAAGATATGTATGAGGGTCAGAGGGCGGAGGAACGTCAGGGAAGACGCTGCTGGGTTGGAGAGCCAAGGGGTGGATGCAGGGGCACCTTCAGAAAGGGGCCCCCAGGAGAAGTGTCCTGGCAGAAACGGGCAGACAGGTGTAGGGGGTGGGGGCAGAGCTCTGCCTTGCCGGCCCCACTGAGGCTTCGGGGAGCAAATGGTGATGCCCAGGGGAGGGGAGGGGAGGGGGGCAGGGCAGAGCAAGGGCTGAGACGGATCCTGCACTCGTGCTCCCTACGTCTTGCACTGGTCTCCTCACTTCTCAGGGCTGCCTGGAGGCACCTCCAGCCCCGGGTCTCTAAGGATTCTACTGACTGTCCATGATGGGATGAGAACCTAGAGCAGCCAACAGAGGGCGCAGGAGGCCTTGGTCCTCTGGAGCCAAACCCGGGACAGCACCGCCCCCTTCTGGGGCACTCAGGGATGTTTTTTGAAATCCTAGATTTTCCATTTCCAAATCTCCCTATGGCCTGTAGATGGAACGGACCCCGTCCTGCCAGGAGAAATAAGATTGGCAGCTGGCTAGGGGAACGGGGTCCTTGGCCTCCGCAATGTCACAGATGCTTTAGGGAAGGGCAACCAGGTCATGCTACTTCCATCTTATAGATGAAGAAACTGGTGCTCAGAGAGGAAAGGGACTTGCTCGAAGTCACATAGCTAATAAGTGACAGCCCCAGGATTGTAGGCCAGCCTTTTCTGACCAAAGTTTGTGCTTTCCTCTGCCCCTGCTGGGAGGGTGGACTCCTGGGTCCATCCTAGAGCTGACTTGGCTGGCCAAGTGAGGCGGTGGGGTAGACTTTGGTCATGCTGAATGGCCCTGCCTGCTTATTTCCTTCCTTTACTGGGTGGTCAGGGCTCTGAGCCTCAGGAGGGAATATCGAAGCCTGTTCTCATGCTAACACTGGGACCACCACTCCAGAGCTGTGAGGGAAGCCCAGGTTGCGGGGCAGTGTCAGGGATCCCAATGGGGCCTCAGTCGGGGGCAGCTTATCTCCCTTGGAAAAGTTCATCTCCCCAACCCAACAGGTAGCCCCTGGAGCCCCCATGAGTGTGTGCTTTGGGAGGGGGCCAGTGCGGAAGAAAGGGGAGGCTGGCTCCATGGCTCCTAGAGAAGCCCCCGGAAGCCTGAGGCCTGTGGTCAGCTAGGGTGTCAGGAAGAGCAGCCTCTGGGAGAAGGGGGGCCCAAAGTGTGTCTACTTGCCCTCCCCTAGGCCCTCAAGAGGGGGTCCCCAGCCAGTGGCGGCCCCTCCTTTGGGCAGGGTGGCAGGAGGAGGAATGTATCTGTCTCCATCATAGGAGTATTCCCAGCGTCCAGCCTAGTGCCTGGCACATAGTGAACACTCAGGGTTTGTTGAATGAATGAATGAATGAATGAATGAATGAATGAGTTGCTTTTGAGGTTCTACCCATCTGGGCTTTGACACTCAGGGATTCATTCCTGGGCACCCATGGAGCTAGAGCCTCTCCATTCTCTGCGTCCTTGGCACTTGAACATAATCAGCCTGGACAGTTGTCACGGGAATGAGCTACCCCCTCTGCAGTCCCCTGGAGTCCACCCACCCAAGTTTGCCGGTGTCCGTCTAGTCCAGAGTCAGCGTAGTCACGAGCCCAGGCAGGATAGGACTTTGGCAGAGAGCGCTCTGACTCTGGCTGGGAGCCTGTGGCCAGTCAGTGGATGGTTGAAAGTCGTGGGTGACATGACCTCCTGCTGGATTTCCAGCCGCAGCCGTCACCTGGCCTCCCTACTGGGGGCTCCTGTCCCCTGTGGAACTCTCGGACAGCAGAGCTGGAAGGGGCCGTGAGGCCCCGAGACCCATCCTTGCGTGGTACAGAGGGCGGAAACGGGTGTGGAGAGAGGCAGCGACGTGCCCCGGGTCACACAGCACGATCGTGGTGGAGTGGAGATGCACAGACCCAGGTGTTCAGCCTCCCGGTGGCAAGTCACCAGCCAGCTCATGGCCACGTTCACTAAGCCACCTGAAACCCAAACCAAGACCGCCTCAAGGCATTCATTCCTTGATTCACCTGGCAAACTCTGTGATTCCTACTCGAGGCACGCTGGGAGTTCTCCACCGCAGCACTAGTGACCTTTGGGGCCAGATAATTCTTCGTGGGGGGCTGTCCTGTGCATCGGAGGATGGTTGGCATCTCTGGCTAGAAGCCAGGAGCATCCCTCCGGTTGCGACACACGCAAATGTCTGCAGACTTTGCCGAATGCCCTGCGGCCGGGCGCGGGGGGCAGACTCACCGAGGCTCAGAAGCACTGGGGCAGGGGGCTCAGGGCTCTGGCTCTGGAGCCGGCCTGCCCGAGTTCACCGCGGCCTCTGCTCCTTGCTGGCTGTGTGGCCTTGGCCAAGTGACTGACGCTCTCGTCTGCAGAGCAGAGAGAACAGCAATGCTTATTACCTCACGAAGTAGTTGCGAGGCTTCCGTGAGCTGATAGCCGCGAAGGCCCTCGGATGCCACCAAGCAGCTCGGACGTGCTGTGTGGATTAGTGATGGCAGACGACTGACCTCACTCCACGCCAGGGGCCGAGGCGCATGCTGGGCCCCGGAGGTGAACGGAAGCCAGGCCCTGCTCGGAAGGGGCGCTGCCCAGTGAAGACCTCACTTCATTTTCTGGGCTCTGGTCAGGGAAGCCCGTGGAAGGAGCCGACCCTGCCCGAGGTGTAGGGTTGGGACCCTAGTCAGGGGCTCCCTGAAGTGTCGTCAAAGGCCTCAAGGAATTTAGCCAGGCAGAGGCAGGAGAAAGCGTGGCAGGCAGAGGGAACTGGATGTGCACCAGCTAGTGTGCATTCCTCCCGAGAACTCGGGGCTCCCCGAAGCTTCCTTCACACTTCTGGGCTCCCACAGCACTTTCAGGCACCCTCAAACCGAGTTAAAGACCGGCTCCTCAGGGCTCCTGTCCTCAGCCCGTCTCTGGGAACCGCACCTTTTCGTAATTACAGCTAACATCTATTACACACTAACAGTGCGTTGTACTGAGTGCTTTACATACCGTCTTGCGTTATTTTTTAAAAATTTAAATGGAGGAGGGCACCTGGGTGGCTCAGGCGGTTAAGCGTCCGACTTGATTCTGGCTTAGGTCGTGATCTCGCGGTTGTGAGATGGAGCCCCGTGCTGGGCTCCACACTAGGTGTGGAGTGTGCTTGACATTCTCTCCCTCTGCCCCATCCCTCTGCCCCATCCCTCTCCTGCTCACACGCGTGCTCTCTCTCTCTCTCACAAAAAAAAATATTTATTTTTAATGGAGTTATAATGGACATGTAACATTATATTAGTTTCAGGTATACAACAGAATGATTCGATATTTGTATATGTTGTGAAATGATCAGCACTATAAGTCTAGTTACCACCCATCACTGTGCATAATTACAATTGTTTTTCTTGGAATGAGAATTCTTTTTAAGATTTATTTATTTATTTATTTTAGAGAAAGAAAGTGAGAGAGAGCAGGGGGAGGGGCAGAGAGGAAGAGAGAGAGAATCTCAAGCAGACTCCCCGCTGAGTGCAGACCCTGACAGTGGGGCTCAATCCCAGGACCCTGGGATCATGACCTGAGCAGAAATCAAGAGTCAGACGTTTAATGGACTGAGCCACCCAGGCGCCCCGAAGAGAATTTTTTTTTAAGATTTTATTTATTTATTTGAGAGAGAGAGAAGGGGAGAGAGAGAGAGCATGAGAGAGGGGAGGGTCAGAGGGAGAAGAAGACTCCCCGCCGAGCAGGGAGCCCGATGTGGGACTCGATCCCGGGACTCCAGGATCATGACCTGAGCCGAAGGCAGTGGCTTAACCAACTGAGCCACCCAGGAGCCCGAGAATTTTAAAGATTTATTCTCTTAGTAACTTCCAAGTACACAATACAGTGTTATTAACTATAGTCATCATGCTCTATACTACATCCCCATGACTTACTTATTTTATAATTGGAAGTTTGTACCTTTTGACCCCCTTCATCCCCTTGGTCCTCGCCCCACTCCTGGCAACCACCAACCTGTTCTCTCTACCTATGAGCTTGGATTTTGTTTGTCTGTTTGTTTGTTTTAGATTCCACATATAAGTGGAGAGTATACGGTATTTGTCTTTCTCTGTCTGACTTATTTCATTTAGCATAGTGCCCTCGAGGTCCACCCGTGTGGTCGCAGATGGCAAGATTTCCTTCTTTTTATGGCTGAGGAGTATTCCATTTCATATACATACCACATCTTCTTTATCCATTACTCCACTGATAGACACTCAGGTCGCTTCCATATCTTGGCTATTGTAAATAATGTGCTGCAATGAACGTCAGGGTGCAGATATCTTTTCTTGTTGGTGTTTTTTTTTTTTTTTTTCCTTCAGATAAATGCCCAGAAGTGGAATTGCTGGATCCTAGGGTTGTTCTATTTTTAACTTTTGAGGAGCCTCCATACTGGTTTCCATAGTGGCTAAGCCATTTTACATTTGCACCAACTGTGTGTGAAGGTTCCCTTTTCTCCCACATCCTCTCCAACACTCGGTATTTCTAGTCTTTTTTATAATAGCCATACAGGATTTCATGTTAATTCTCACCACAATTCTAGAAGTAGATACTCCTCTTATGTCCATTTTACAGATAAGTAAATAGACTCAGAGAGGTCATTTACCTGAGGTGAACTTGAACCTGAGAAGACTGACTTTACATCTTGCATTATTATTATTTTTTAAAGATTTTATTTTTATTTATTTGACAGAGAGAGAGACAGCCAGAGAGGGAACACAAGCAGGGGGAGCAGGAGAGGGAGAAGCAGGCTTCCCGCAGAGCGGGGAGCCCGATGCGGGGCTCGATCCTAGGACCCTGGGATCATGACCTGAGCTGAAGGCAG